TTTTGTACCAATACCATGCTGTTTTGACTATAACTGCTTTGTAGTATGTCTTTAAATCTGGTATTGTGATGCCTCTGGTTGTATTTTTGTTGTATAAGATTGCTTTAGCTATCCTAGACCTCTTAGGTTTCCAAATGAATTTCAGCATCATCTTTTCTACATCTGAGAAGAATGTATTTGGTATTTTGAATGGTATTGCATTGAATCTGTAATGACTTTTGGAAGAATGGGTATTTTGATGATGATGATTATTCTGATCTATGAACATGGAAGTTTTTTCCATTTTTTAATATCATCTTTTATTTCTTTTTGGAGAGTTTTGTAATTCTCATCATAGAGATATTTTACCTCCTTGGTTAAATTTTTTCCAAGGTATTTACTTTTTTGTAGCTATTGTGAATGGGATTGATCTTAGAAATTCTTTCTCAGCCTTGGCATTGTCTGTGTATAGAAGGGCTGCAGTTTTTTGTGTATTGATTTTATATCCTGATGTTTTACCAAACTCTTTTGTGAGTTCCAGTAGTCTCCTTGTGGAGTCTTTCAGTTACCCTATATATATAATCATGTCATCTGCAAATAAGGGTATTTTGACTTCATCCTTACCAATCTGAATCCCTCTCATTTCTTTTTCTTGCCTGATGGCTCTGGCTAAACTTCCAGTACTATATTGAATAGCAATGGAGACAGTGGGCATCCTTTTCTGGTTCCATATCTCAATGAGAATGCTTCCAGTTTTTCCCCATTCAATAGGATGCTGGCCATGGGTTTGTCATAAATTGCCTTAATTATGTTGAAGAATGTTCCTTCTAGACTAAATTTGCTTAGAGTTTTCATCATGAAAGAGTGTTGTATTTTATCAAATGCTTTCTCTACATCTATTGAGATAATAGTATGGTTTTTGTTCTTTGATTTGTTAATGTGATGTATCACATAGATTGATTTGTGAATGTTGAACCATACTTGCATACCGGGATAAATCTCACTTGGTCTGGGTGAATGATCTTCCTGATGTGGTGTTGCCAAATTCCAGCTTCATTCCATTGTGGTTCGAGAAGATGCATGGTATGATTTCAATTCTTTTTAATTTTCTGAGACTTTTTCTATGGCCTAGTATGTAGTTCCATGCACTGCTGAGAAGAATGTGTATTCTGCAACTGTAGGATGAAAAGGTCTGTAGATATCTGCTAGGTCTATTTGGTCTATGGTGTTAAGTTTGATGTTTCATTACTGATTTTCTGTTTTGTTGATCTGTCCATTGCTGGGAGTAGGGTATTGAAGTCCCCCATTCCTATGGTATTTGGATCTATATCTCCCTTTAAATATTTTAACATTTTTTTAATAGCCAGGTTCCCTATAGTTAGGTGCATATACATTTATAATGATCGCATCTTCCTGTTGAATTGATCCTTTGATATTACATTGTGTCCTTCTTTCTCTCTCTTGGTGGTCTTTGTGTTAAAGCCTATTTTGTCTTATATTAGAATGGCCACTCCAACTCTTTTTGGTTTCGGTTGGCATGGAATATCTTTTTCAATCCTTTCACTTTCAGTCTGCAAGCATGTTTTTTGGTAAGATGTGTTTCTTGTAGGCAGCAAACAGATGAGTTTTCTTTTTAAATCCATTCATCCAGTCTGTGTCTTTTAACTGAGGAGTTGAGACCATTTACATTCAGTGGTACTATTGTTATGTACCGACTTTGCCCTATCATTTTTCTGTAAATCGTTCTGTTTATGTACTTTGGATTTCACTTGTTCTTTTGCTGGCTAATTATGTCATTTTGCAGTGATGTTCCTGTTTCTGTGTTTGTGTGTAGCACATGTTTGAGCGTGTTACTTAGGCCTGGGCATGTACTTAAAGTTTCTTTCAACTTCTATTTGCTGTGAAAGATCCTTTTTCTCATGCATTCATAAATGAGAGTTTTGTAGGGTATAGTAATCTGGGTTGACCTGTGTTTTTTCTCTTAAGAGTTGGAATATGTCTTGCCATTCTCTCCTTTCCTGTAGGGTTTGTGATGAGAAGACTGGGGTGAGTTTATCTGGGTTCCCTCTGAATGTGATTTGGCATTTCTCTTGGGCACATTTTATGATCTTTTCTTTATGTGTTACTGAGGAGAGCTTCTAGTTCTGATGTTCTTTCTTCTTCTCTTTGAGGATTTTTTTGAGACTATCCACTGTATTGTTATATACTCTCTGAATTCTTCACATCTAAATTTCATTCTGATTTCTCTTCAATATCTCAGTTTCCTGGGAGCACATTTCATTTAGGTTGTGAATGTGTTTCTTATTGCTTCTAAGTAATCTGATGATTAGTTTTCTGAATTCTGTTTCTGGAATATCTTCAATCCCTTGCTCTTCTGCTTCTATTAATGAAGAGCAGATGTAATCTTTCATTCTAGGGCTAATACTATCTTCCTTATTTTTATTAAAATTTAACCCCTTGTTTTTCAGCACTTCCAATTTCTTTCCTCTTTAATATGTGTCTTGGTGCTTGTGGCAAGATTTCCCTCTGCTATGTGTCTACGTTGCCAGTGGAAATATGTAGTTCCACTTCTGAAAGTCCTGCTTCCTTCTGGATGGTGATGGCGGCCGATAGAAGGGCTCTGGTGCACTAAGCCCTGCCTACTTTGGCCACGCTCTGGTGTGTGAAATGAACTAGGGATTTCAGTCTTTAGAACTTCTCACTGTCATATAGCTCATGTGGTGGTGGTGGGGGAAAGTACTCTGAAATGTTGTTATCCTTGTTTCTGGGTGGCAGGTGTGCAGTGAAGTAGCCCCACATTCAATGGACATGCACACAGAAGGTAAATATAGTAGCACTGTGTTTATTTTCAGAGATGTAAACAGACACTATGGCTTCTCCCAGCTGGCTGCCAGTCTGATTGGAGGGGGAGACATAGGTGGGCAGGAGTATGCCCTAGTTCTCTGTCCTTTCCCCTAACTTCCCTCTGGGAATTTCAAACAGTTGCCCACTGCTAACTGCAGGTCTGGGGAATCATAAACTTACATCTCACCTGGTACACCCAGGGAGAGGGGATGGTGTCACATCAGTTACCCCATTTGGGTTCTTCTTCACACCTCTGCTGTGGCTCAGTGGCTGTTTGCTTCCCAGTGTGGTCCTGCTCCATCTCTGCTAGACTCCTGGGCTTCTCCACTCAAAATTCTTGTGGTTCTGTCACCAGCCTGTATCACCTTTTCTAATTAACTATTTTCCACCTTGAGACTGAGAACATCTTGTTGCTCTACCGCCATCTTGGCTCCTCTTCATTATTCTTAAAAGTGGAAAAGCATCAGAACAGGTTATTTCCAACCTCCTTTTGAGAGCTTTTTCCCCAATTGAGGTATCTTAAATTACAAATGTCCTCATCATCTCCAACACAGTAGATAGTTCCTCATAGAATTACTTCTTTCTCCCCAAACCCTCCAACAGTGTCTTCAGCTCCTATAGCCTGAGAAGCACTCGGGTGTGAGATACCATAACTTTATGGGGTTGTCTCAGAACATAGGAAAACTTCCTGAGTCATACTCAATTGTGTATGAGTAGCCATTAGCAGATGCCTTGTCTAATATCCAAGTCAATTTGTATTTGATTCCTTTGCATTTTAAAGCAATTGTGTAATACGTGTGTATGTAAATGTATTACTTTGATTATGTTTAGGAAATACAGAATGATCATTTCTCCCATGTGTTCAGTAGATGATAATCAAATCACATGTTTTTAGGTTCTTAAGTTATTTTACAGCTTTGATTAGCACTTAATAGTTCTGTGATATTTTAGAGTATGTATGCAACATGTCCAGAGTACCTCAAATTATTCATAGAAAATGGAAGGCTCTTAGACAATTGAACTATTTGAATTCAATGCTTACTAAAGGCAAGGCACCAGTGGTGACTGGATGAAAAATCTGTTTATATTAAAATTATTAGACTTTCTGTTTTACAGCAGTTTAAACTTACAAAGTATTTGAGCAGAATACTAGAATTTTCTTACGTGTCCCCAACTCCTTTAGCTATCCTCTATTGATAACATCTCATGACAGTAGGATAGTAGGATAAAATGGACAATTGATGAGCCACTGTTGATGCATCACTTTGCCTAAAGTTTCTAGTTTACTTTGGTAAACTTGCTTTTTTGTTGCACAATCCACAAGTTTTGGCAGTGGAATAATGACATGTATTCTCCATGATGGTATTCTAGAGAGTATTCCTGAAAACCACTTGCACTCCAGATACATAGATATCTGTAGGGTGTTCTCCTGCCCTTGGTGGTTATCGTGCTGAGACTAGAGATGATTTCCAGCTGATTTCTCTGCTTTAGGGTAAAAATGGAGACTTTGGCACTTAGCTCCCATGGCCTCATAAGGGCTTAAATGAGAAATACCCATGGTTGTAGGTGTAAATCTTCATGGAGTTAGTGTGGATACTAGAACATTCGGGATAGGTGTCATACATGGATATGTGAACACCAAGATAGATTGATGTTGATGTACTGATTAGGAATCTCTGAATTGAGAGTGATGAGTTGGGCCACAGTACTTGGGAACCTGGTACTTGTGGGTTTCTCTGTGCACAGGATTCCTATGAGATCTGTGTGGGAAACAAGGAAATGTTCTGTGCCTGCCCTGGATACTGGGTGTGTGGGGCTGCCCCTTCCTCTTTTGTCCTTTGGGGAATCTGATGCTGGAATGCTCTTGGCTAAGTGCTGACTGAGACTGGCCCCTCCAGGTTCTCACCTGACAGCCCCCATTGCACCCTGTGAGGCAGTCTATTCGTGTCATATTTAATTGCAGTTTGTCTCTAGGATCTTGCTATCCATAGACTTTGATATCATCATAGCACCTGGGGTAGAAAAGATGTGCCAAAATTAGGTTTTTCATCTTGTATTTTTCACCTGGACACAAGACCTCAGCTGCAGAGCCCAGGGAAGAATGATTCCATACCCCATGGAAGAGGAGGTGGCTTGGCAGAAAGGAGTTAGATTGAAGAGCATTGGTTCAGCTCTCCCGTCCAGTAGAAACACACACAGATGTGCATACATGAATGCAGAAAAATACAATAGGTGTGTGTACCTGCCTAGCACTGAAGGTTCCTCTACAATTGAGTTCTAGGGTTTTGTACAGATTTCCTAAATGCTTCCTTTGCTTTTTCTCATTCCCCTACTGCAGGTTCCCTTCCTTGTGTGTTCACTGGTTGATAGTTTGTGCTTTCTTGAGTTACAAAACAGCCTTCATAATGATGGAGATATGGTGATTGCTGACCCCCCCATGTATAGATACATCACTAAGAGAAGCATCAATAATCCCATATTCATATGCCAAGTGTAAGTGTCCTTTGCTTTCTTTATATTTTCTGTGGTTGTCCTGTTAGTTATTTCTTGAGGATTCTGAAAATGGTTAGACAAATGCTTAGATAATTGGTGAGATAAAATTCTGTGTCTCTGGCCTGTCCATCCCTTACCTCACATAGAATTTGTTGATAATTTATTTGTGGTCTCGTGATCACATTTCTTTTTCACCTATCTCTGAATTGTGGGATGAGAGACTGCTTCTCCTCATAGAAGAAAAGAGAGGGTATTGTCTTCTCTTCTTCTCCACTATGATCAGCTCAGAAATCCTATAAGCCTCGGCAAAACACTGTCTCCCAACTGATACCGTGAAATGAACACCCTTGTGTTTATTTGAGCTCTTCCTCTTGCTCTGCTCAACTTTTCTGCAAGGCACTTGTTTTTGGGTCCATAGAAATGCTTTTTTTAGAAAATCCCAATGGAAAATAAAAGATAGACCAAGACAGAATATGTTTCATTACAGACGGTTAACATTTTTGTGTTCAGACAACTACTTAAATATAGATATTTCAAAATATAGGTTATTCTGACTCCTCCCTTAGGTTTTCCTTCCATAGTAAAATATGATAAATATTTTTCCTTTATGATTATTCAGGCCTAAATATATCTTTTAGGTCTAGCATAATTTAATTTGAAACCAATTTTTGAATGTTCCTCACTTTCTAACTGGCTTCTACCTTAATAATGCAGTCAGTAGGAAGAGAGTACAAAGATCTTTGATAGAAGATAGATGTTAAGGCATCGATCTTTGCATTATGATTTAAGCCAATGGATTCCAAGAATCCATAATAATGGACCACATGATTTGTGCAACCAAGCATTTCGTGTGATACAGTATTGTAGGCTTATGTCCGCAGAGCCCTCCACTTTTATGATGATGGATACTAGCCAGTTATAACAATATTATTCCCTTCACATTGATGATCTTAACAGGTGGCCTGAGTTGGTATGTGCAAATAATGCCTCACTGATACTTTTATTTATTAGTACTTGTGCTGGCCTGCTGCACCAGTGGAACAGAACCTGAAGGAGGGAGTGGCAATGAAAAGAGGGACAAAGGTGCAGAGAATGGAGCCAAGACAACAAGGCTTATCAAGGCTCATTTATTCTAGTGTCTCAGTGATATTTATACATAACCAGCTACAGCTCAAAGAAGCACAAAAGATAACAACATACACACGCAGCTTATCAGGCTTCCAGTAACACAGATAATTTTAACACAGTGTTCTTGATCATCATCCTCCTTCAGGATGGGAGTATGTGACTTTTTTTTTTTGCTGGTCTATGCTTTGTTTATTGCCTTATAGAAAACATTTTACAAAATAAGAAGGTAGACGTCCCCTTTAACATCTTCATGTAAAAATTTCACAGTGCAAGAAAGTGATCACTTTTAAGTATGAAGACATCCAAAGGCAGCCAGTACTTAAGTATAGCACAGAATATTTTTTCTATCACTTTCTTAAAAATGTTGGCACATTACTCGCTTGGGTTCTAACAATTAGTGAGTGTCCACTTTCTGTCCTTTGAAACATTTTATATCCATACTGCATATTAATCCTGGTGCTCAAAACAGCTAAGAATCTTGAAAAACCTCTCAGATAGCTCAGATGGCTTGATACCAACTGGTAAAAGATATACCAGAATACTTTGCATGTAATCGTCTGTCCATTACCACAATAACCAAGTATAAAGCTTAAAAAATGCTAAAGGAAAATAATTTCACTTTTCCTTTGCAAATATCATGTCTTAGCTCTTAAGAGAGGACAAACTTTCTTGGAGGGGGAAATATTTTATCAGTAAAAATGTCAGGTTTAAGTTAGTTATTACAAATGTCTCATTTAGGAAAGAAAGTGAACATTTTGATTCAAAAGAGTCTAAAAATTTCATCATTACAAGCTTAATTTAAAGCCAAAAAATTGTAACATGTCAAACTAATATAAATCAGTATATTCTACTGTTTTTCAAAGAATCCATAATTGAGGAACAATAGCTTATGTAAGATACCTGTTTTTTTTTTCTTTTTTGACAGGCAGAGTGGTCAGTGAGAGAGAGAGAGACAGAGAGAAAGGTCTTCCTTTGCTGTGGTTCACCCTCCAATGGCCACCATGGCTGGTGCACTGTGGCTGGCACACTGCGCTGATCGGAAGCCAGGAGCCAGGTGCTTCTCCTGGTCTCCCATGGGGTGCAGGGCCCAAGCACTTGGTTCATCCTCCACTGCACTCCCTGGCCATTGCAAAGAGCTGGCCTGGAAGAGGGGCAACCAGGACAGAATCCGGCACCCTGACTGGGTCTAAAACCCAGTGTGCCAGCGCCGCAAGGCAGAGGATTAGCCTAGTGAACCACGGTGCCGGCCTAAGATACCTGTTTCCGACATTTGGTCAGATTCACTGGTATAAGAAGCCCTAGACAAAGGATACCACCTCTGAGTTTGCAGGTCCTCATTTCTTCAGTGAGGGTGGTAGACTCTGTGCCCTTTAACAGCCCTTCCAACCTACAGGTTTATACAGAATTGTTAACCTTGTGTGATCAAAAGAAAGTGTTTCAACTCAATGTCATTTTCCAGATAAATACAGTTCTCCCATTTAAGTGGTGTGCTGTTCTTTAAATGTTTAGATTTTGCTTTAAAATTTATTTTCAGGGCATCTATCACCTTAAAAAAAGATAAGGTACAACTAACAACACAGCTCTTGCTCTAATCCTATGCAACTTTGGGTCAGGCTCTGTGTGAAAATGAGTGTGGTGCACCTGCTAGCTGCCTTGAAGACCAACAGAGCGACTATGATATATCGAAGTAATTGTAAACTACAAATTACCACATGGATGCAAAGGATTTTCATAAATCTAGGTTGACTTTTCCCTGGTTAAAGAAAAAAATCTGTATTTTAGAAAATAGGCATTCTTTGTCAATACTTAATGCATTTATGATTCTGACTCTGGTTATCTGTCTCTTTTCTTACAATCACTCTGTTCTGTCTCCAATCACTCTTCTAGTTGCACCAGGCCTAGACTCAGTTTCTCTCTCCTGGAGTGCAGAAATCTGACTTTGAAATAGGTGGAAACCACCATAAAGATCGCTGTTACTTTGGCAACTACACTGTCAACACTATGCACTCTACAGAAGTAGTATCATAACTAGACTAGCATCTGACTCACCTAGGAAGTGTTTTAAAACAGCTCTCTGGGCTCCTGCCCACAAGATGCTGATCCAGCAAGTCTGCAGCAGGACCTGGAGAAACTTCTTAAAAGCTGCCCAGGTGATCACCAACAGTCAACTGATTAGGTCCGTTTCAAGGATTCACTGCTCTGTCTTCAATTTCTTCTCTATAATTTTAGCAACTGCCAGGTCATGTTTAATATAAAATTTTCCCTTACATTGATCACCAGCACACTGGAAAAGATTGCCCATGATCTTGGCTTAAATCCACAGGGAACTAGTCATCACAATCTTTTACAAAAATTTAAGATTATAAATTAATTTCAGAGCTAAGCAATGCATGTAGGCAGTGAAAGGTAGCTGGTCCTAGGTTTACATGGTATATTTGTAGTTGGTCACCATCTTATTTCAGTTGTCACTACTCAATAAAGGATAGCAGGAATACCGCCAAATCACAGAAAGATGGCTAACCAACTACACTCAGTATTTATAAAATGCTTCTAGCATACATAAATTAAAAGTATTTAAAAAAAAACACAGCTTCCTATAGAAACCCAGACATGCACACTTCTGAAGTCTCTGGAAAGAAAAAATTGACCAAAACTACAGGTGTTTAAAAGTATGCCCCATTGACTGGTAGAGATTCATCCTTTAGGAGCTTTACCAGGCACAAGTGGAACTCAGCTTCCATTTGTTCTGCAAGAATGACATGTGAAGTATTTGGTATAATGTAGTTCTGAATGCCATCCCTTCCAAATTTAACACAAAAGCCAGTTTGTCCCCAGCTCAACTAGGCACTGTGGAATGTTCTCATGTCCTTTGGCTCTTGGCTGGGGACACACCGGTCGTCAGCTTCGTGGTTGGTGTTGTAATCCTTCCAGACAGCCTTGTTATACACAGGCAATCTTTCTATGGATTCTGTGGACAGAGCCTTAATGTAGATCACTGCATCTGTCCCATAACCCTCCAAGGAATACAGCTTTAGGTCTCCCTGGAAGTACTGGGCATAAAGACGGGATATGGGCAATCCATAACCAAAACCAGCCAGGGGCACTGCGCGGGAAGTCCAGGCAAGGTAGGGGTGCAGTTGAATACATGTAGTTGTAGAGTCTGTCAATTTTCCTCAAAGGAACGCCACCTCCTCGGTCACTCATCTTCACAGTCAAATCCTCATTACCCAGTGTGACATGAACTTGAATGGGGAGGGGGGTTAAACACCTTTGTCAGCATGGTGTTCCATGGTTGCTCTCATTGCATTCTTGAAAAGTTCAAACACCATGTGATAGAGATGGGACGGTACATAAACCACTTCTATTGGCTGTCCTGGTGATTTTGCATTTAATTCTTCAAGTTCTAGTTCAGGAGAGTTAATATAATACAAGTCACACAGACGCCTAGCATTTTCATAGCCATCTTTAATAACTTCAACTACATTGTAGTTTGGATTTATGCTTCCAATGTTCGTTCTTTCTTTCTTTCTTTCTTTCTTTCTTTCTTTCTTTCTTTCTTTCTTTCTTTCTTTTGACAGGCAGAGTGAACAGTGAGAGAGAGAGACAGATAAAAAGGTCTTCCTTTGCCGTTGGTGTGCTGCGGCCAGCGCACCATGCTGATCTGATGGCAGGAGCCAGGTACTTGTCCTGGTCTCCCATGGGGTGCAGGGCCCAAGTACTTGGGCCATCCTCCACTGCACTCCCTGGGCACAGCAGAGAGCGGGCCTGGAAGAGGGGCAAATGGGACAGAATCTGGTGCCCTGACCAGGACTAGAACCCAGTGTGCCAGCGCCGCAAGGCAGAGGATTAGCCTAGTGAGCCGCAGCGCTGGCCCCAATGTGTTTTCGATGAGATGTACTTCCTTTCCCACAAAACAATAAGGGGTGCTGATTGAGCAACATTCTAATTGAAATGTGACTCATGTAGAACCGATCCAAGAAGTACTGAACATTCTGGCTGGTGACACGATCCACCCCGAAGCTCTCCTTGTATTCAATCACTCCCTGAGCCATTGTGGGAATGACGTCATTGTGGCAGTTCCTGATCTGGATCACAGTATCTGTAAAGTCATAAACAGCTTTTGCATCTTTAGCGCCTTTGTCCTTAAAATCAAGAAGCTCCTGAAGGCTCTGGATGTACCAGCTTTGCACCAACTGAACAGATGGCATCCTGAGAAGATTATCTGGAAGGAGACTTATTTCTTTCAGTATATTTGCCAATCTAATAGGCAGCTCCTGCCGCAGAAACATAAACGAAGTCTTTTCGCAAGCATTCACTGATCCGAAGTCCAGGAACTGCTTCATGGAGAGCAGGGATGGCGAGAAGCATGTAGAAGTCCACTTGGCCCAGAATGCCGCTGTCCGCCAACACTGGGCCGGAGCCGGAGCCGGAGTCCGAGGCAAGGCTGCGGTGTCTGCGGGGGCCTATGGCATGCAGCTCCGGGCCCGAGCCGGCCACGGTGACTCTGCACAGCAGCCGCGCCAGCCTCATGCCAAGCCCGGCTGGAGGAGCTGGAGCCCCAGCACCAGGTCACCACTGGGCGCCTCAGCTGGGCAGTACATAGTATGTGACTTTCTTATCCCAGCAATTCCACAAGCCAAGATTGGCCTTGACTTGTCCAAAGGCTGCCTACATCTCCTCTTTTTTATTTTATTGAGAATGGCCTCTGTCTTAGGTTGCCCTCAGTCATCTCTGTACTTACCATCATTGGTAACTGGCGACTTGGCCTAGAGCCCTGTATTAGGTTGGTACAGGATTCTGAGTGTCTTACCCAGCTCTGAGGATCATTCCAGCTAGGCATTAGGTGAGAGTCAAGGATTGATAAGATATTTGGCCAAATATCAATTATTTTCATTACAAAGGAGGTTTAGCAAGAAGTTTTAAATGATGGATCTCAGTCCATATAGACTGTAGTGAAGTTAACGTAAGTTGTAAAACACACGGAAAACTTCCCATACAAAGTAGGAAAAGCAGTAGTGGTCCAGCCAACATTAATAACCAATGGATCCTCTGAAACTCTCCAAATGATAGGGGCTTGTTAATGAACATATGTTGTATTTCACTCTTAAATTTATCAATAACAGACTCTGTATATGGCACATTGTTAGTAATGTTAAAACAACACCCCCCAGGCACAGATTCACAGCATATATGATCTTTCAACAGCAAGTAATTGATAGCTGCATGGTAGAAAAGGGTTCCTGAGCAAACGTGATCCAATTCTTCAGCTATACTGGATAGTGCAGTAGCAGTAAGATTGATTATTTTGGTCACCAGACATGCATGCCTTCGTAGTCCAGGATTATTTCCATAAGCCAATCCAGGAACTCCTACTACCGATATAGCCATGGTAAAGGCAGTGTCTTCTCTGATTAGGATGACATTGTCATCGCAGTTCTCAGGTAATGAACATTGCCGATGTCAGCATCGGGGCCACATGGCCCAATGAGCAGTTGCAGAAATTATCAAGGGCTAATGATGTAAAAGCATATTAGCTGCATTAAAAAAACCCCATCCATTAGGAGCCCACATTCCATTCCAGTACCAGATCAGGTCCATTCCATTGATTGGTGATAGGATCCCTCCATTTCACCATTGCTCTTTTTGCAGCTGTTTGTGTATGCCAGTGTCTATCAGCTACAGAACGACCATCTTTATCCAATGTGAGAAAATTTAAAATGAATAAAACATGTGAGAGCCATTTGTTAGGAGAATGGGCAGAAAGCCCAAACTCTCCCTTTTTTTATTTAAATATTGCTTTAAAGTATTATGTGTGTGTTCAACAAGGCATTGACCCTGAGGATTATAAGGAACACCAGTAACATGAGATATAAAAAAGGTTGCGCAAAAATTTTCAAAGAAGTAGAAATATAAGCAAGTCCATTATCCATCTTGATTTATTTTGGGGTTCCCAAGGAAGCAAAAGCTTACAAGCAATGGGCAATAACATGTTTTGTAGCATACCTTTATGTAAGGAAGCAAAAATAAATCCAGAACAAGTATTGGTAGAAACATGTATATACTTCTTTCTACTAAATTCCGTGAAGTGGGTGATATCCATTTGCCATCATTGACTGGGGAACAAACTGCGAGGGTTAATTCCATAATAAGGTACTGGTAACAGGATGGAGCAAGTAGAACAGGATTTTACAACTTGTTGAGCTTGTTCTTGAGCAATTTTATGTTTTAAACGTAATGTATGAGGATTTAAAGGATGTAAAGTGTGATATTATGTTGTTATTTTGATAGAATATACATGAAAAGCAGAATCTGCCAAATGATTGCCCTCTACCAAAGGTCCAGGAAGATCAGAATGTGCTCACATATGACCTATAAAGAAAGGGCAAGTACACTTTCGAATGATAGTGGAAATGTGAGAAAACAAAGTAGAAGCAGCAGAAGATTCAGGAAAAAATGAACAGGTTTATAATTGAGGAACCGATAGGAACACATATTTGATATTGATGTGTATGTTAACCACTACATCCAAAGTAGACTGCAATGCAAGTGGACCAGCAGCTAATTCAACTAGCTGTGGAGATGAAAAAGTGGTGTTCATAACAGTATGTTGATCATCATGAATTACAGAAGCTTGACCAGTGTTGAAACCGTCGGTAAATATCAAGGCAGCATTCTCTAAAGGTTGAAAACTTGTTTTTTGTGGTAATACACAGGTTGTCATAAAAACCGTGATACTTTATCTGCTGGATAGTTATTATGAACTTGTCCTGAAAAAGAAGATAATCCAAGAGGCCAATCTTTGGCGAAAGACAGGAGTCAAATCAGCTGTTTGTCAGTATATGGTTGACATACACATGTCAGCTCTATCCCAAATATCTTTCTACATTCTAATCTCCCTTTAGCTATAATCTCAGCTATTGCATTATAATATGGTATGACATTCTTTTTAGGGGTAGCCTGTAAATATATCCAAAGTAAAGGAGCTTCTTGCCCCAGCAGAGCAGAGGGTAAATAATCTGTAATCAAAATAATAAGAATTAAAGGCTGATTATAATCAATATCAGAAACAAAGCTCTGAGATAAGGCTTGTTGAACCTTTTCCAAGGCCAGCCATGCTGCAGGAGTAAGCACTCATTGGGAGGTAGGAGAACTATCTCCTTTCAGGATATCAAATGAAGGTTTAAGGTCTCCTGTTGTGAGGCAGAGATGGGGACAAAGCCAATTAATATCCCCTAGAAGTTTTTGAAAATCACTTAAAGTCCAGAAAGAATCCAACTGTAAGGTCACTTTTTGTTGAAGTATTTTTCGTGTATACAATTAGAAGCCTAGATATTGATAAGGATATTGAAGTTGCATTTTTTCAGGGGCTATAATAAGACCAAAGGCAGATAACTGTTCTCTCATTTCTGTCAAACATTGTATAACCAGAGGTTCCTCGGGGCCAGATAACAAAATATCATCCATATAGTGTACAATATATAAATTGTTATATATTTCACGAATTTTTTGAAGAGCGACATCAACAAATTGTTGGCACAGAGTAGGACTATTGGCCATTCCCTGAGGTAAAACCCTCCATTGATATCTTTTCATAGATTTTTAAAAATTTACTGATGGAACGCTAAAGGCAAATCAGGGACAATCTTCTGGATGTAAAAGTATTGTATAAAAGCAATCTTTTAGATCTATTAGCGTAACATAGGCGTCTCTTAGAATAGCAGTAGGCAGTGGTAGACCTGGTTGCAAGGCCCCCATAAGTTCCATAGTAGCATTAACTGCCCTAAGGTCCTGAAGCAACCTCCATCTCCCAGATTTCTTTTTGATAACAAAAATAGGACTATTTCAAGGAGAATTAGAAGGAACTATATGTCCTGTTATCAATTATTTTTCACCAATATCTGTGTAGCAGCTGTCTTTTTCTGCAGTAAAGGCCACTGATCCACCCATACAGGATTATCCGATTTCCATTTTATTTTTTCTGCATGGGACACAGGCTGACCATTGGCCATCAAGGGAAACCCAAGCCTCTCCGTTCATGATTGACAGTTAAAGTAACTGGAGACGTGATACCTTGTTGTTGTTTGCCTAAGTTTTTACCTGGCAAATGACCTTTTGATGCATGTTAATGGTAACAGTCTCATTTGGACTACACTCTAAAGCCCCCATTTGAGTTTGAATATCATGTCCCCATAGATTAACAGGTAACCAAGCTAAAATATAGGGGCGACAGTTTCCAGCATTACCTGCTTCATCCTCCTATTCCAACAATTCAGAACTTTGTTCTAACCCCAGACTCTGACCAATATCTCATAACTGAGTCATAGTTAATTCTTTTTTCCATCGTTTAGGCCAATTTATTTGCAGAAATGACAGAAACATCAGCTCCCATATCTAGTAACCCTAAGAACAATTTAATTTAATTTAATTTAATTTAATTTAATTTAATTTCATTGAATTTCAATTGAAATTCCAGTCTGCCCTTTCTTATAAGCTGGACCCAATAAGCATCTGAAGACCCAAAACCTCCTTCCCCATGAGAGTTTGCCAATGTGGTTCCAAATAAGGCAAGAGGGCAAGAGGAAGAAGGACCAGCTGAGCAATGCACTGTCCTGGAGAAAGTGTGACAACAGTACCATTAGCTTGTGCCATAATTTTTATTTCCCCCATAAAATCTCCATCTATAACCCCAGGGAATACTTGCAATCTATTCATAATAGTACTGCTTCTTCCTAGTAGAAGCCCAAAGAATCCCTTAGGCAACAGCTCACAGATACCCATTGGGAGGGCCAGTGTTCCCATTTTGGGCATTAGGTCTGTGTAGGTGGGGGTACTGAGGTCCAGTCCTGCACTCCCCCTAGTGGCTAACTGCAAGGTACCAACTGATTTAAGGTGTTTTGTTGAACAAATGTCATGGCCCCAAAGATTTGTCAGTTCTGTCAGGCTGGGGCCTGGGGCTGGCCCTGCTCTAGTTTCCCGAACTCTGTTCTTTTAATGAATTACCTTATTTATCAGTTTTGGAGTGACATTCTTTGGCCCAATGCCTTTCCCTTTTGCACTGGGGGCAAATCCCAGGAAGATCCCTATTTTGATTTTTAACTTTCAGACAATTTTTTTCACACATGTCCATACTGCCCACATTCATATCACCCTCATTTATTGGGCATAGCTCTCCTTGCTGATTCTTGTAATGACATACCATGCAGAGAGGCAGCCATGGCTAATCTTTGAGTACAAGAAGGTCCAATGTCAGCACATAGATTAATATACCCATCCAAATCTGTCTTTTTTCTATAAGGATGAATAGCCCGCTTACACGGGACATTGGCATTTTCATAAGCCAATGGTTTTATAAAATCCACTCTTGCTTGTGGATCCCCAAAGATCTTTCCTGCTTCTTGCAACAAGAGATTAACAAAGTCAGCATATGTCTCATCAGGCCCCTGTATGGTCTTTGAAAGTGACTCTCCCTTGTTTGCTCCTTTTGAGGGGAGAGTGATCCAAGCTTGGTGTGCAGCCACAGCTGTCTCCTGAAAAACAGCAATGGGCTGTGCTATTTGAGCTAAGATATCCTCATATGCCCCTTGCCCTGCCAACATATCAAA